AATTAAATTTTTCACTAAATATTGGGGTTAAAAAAGGAGTTGCGCTAATATTGCGCAACATAAAAATTTTCAACTACCACCATTTTATTCTATAGGGTCTTGGCATTCAGAAAATATATAATGTTGGGGGGTTTTACGTCATTTTCAGTCCTAAAATGTGGAATATAACATGGGTGCAAAAATTGAAAAAAGGGCCTCAGTCATGAAGGGGTTAAAGACAAAACGTTTCCCTTCGTTGTAAAAGTTGATCTGATCTTTTGTTGCAAAGTTTTTGGAAATGAAGATACATGCTGGTATTATGGGGATTAAAACATGGAGCTGGGTATAGTTTTAAAGAGCAGTAACAGTCAATCTGCATTTTTTTGTTAGCTCTGTATCGGAGAGTCTGTCCTTACTTACTGCTTTCTGCAGCTTTCTTAATGCCTGCCTCATCTTCAGGTGCATCCGGACTCAGCCCCATCAAATCAAACCTGCAGAGAAAGAAGAAGAATTTTCTGGAATGAGAAGCTTCTACAACGATGTTAGAGATGTACTTGTGAAGATGACCTACATACCATGCTGGCATCACCATCTTCATGTTTAGACTTACTGGAATGCGAGGTCTGCAAATGGAAAAATGACAACCACTATGTAACATTCACTTCCTTGTTGGTCTATTAAATCAAGACTAATGCTGGCTTTACATTTAATGATCATTGATCAATCATTCTAAATGACCTTTGATTGAAAACAAACATGGAACACAACAAAAGGATATGGTCAAATATGATTCTATTTTTTACAATGTTCAATAAGACAAAATGTTTATTGACTGAACATGCAACACTGCCATTGTTGGTACATGGCAAAAACAAGGTTAGAAAATATTGCATTTAGAATACGGTCCTTAACAGAACTCTATTTCTTTATTATGCCTCTAAAGCAGACCATAATGTCATGTTCTATAAAGCAATAACTGGTTTACCTTTGAAACCCACTGTGTATTTTTTTATTATGCCTGTAAACTTTACCACAAAATCAGGTTCTATAAAGCATTAACCAATTCAGCTTTGAAACTTACTGAACCGTGCAGCGCATTATTCTAGTCTTTGTGTACTATTAATGCAACATGAAAATATTAAATAAGACCAAAAGGTCATTAGTGTGGCACATGTAATACACATGTTCTCATTTTGCACACAAAATAGTCAACTGTTCTGATTATGTGCACAAAAAAAAAGAAATGTATATATATATATAAAAATACTCACGCATGTGGACATATGTATTTCACATAGGGCAGTTTACTACCAGATAATGCTTCAGCCCAGCCATGTCTAAACAGTAGAAAAATAGAGCAAAAACAAGTTTATTTTTATTAATATGACCACATTTTACACACACATATTCTTGGTAGAGGCAGGGTTTTGCTTTCTTATGTCAGAACCTCCAGCAACTCAGTAATGATATCACTAACTCTTCTAAAGCTGGCAGTCAGAGGCAGCAATGTATTGCTATTTTTCAGGAGGAAAAATGTAAGTTATTCAAGGCACTGCCTACCCACAATTAGTATTTCTAAATGGTTACCTATTACATAGCATATCTACACTTTGAATTCTGGTCCACTTTAAAAGGAGAACTATGGGGTCAGGGCTTTTCCCCATAGTTCTCCCAAGGGTCACGGGAGAACACAAACTAGCTACGGCTCGCGGTATACTGAGACGCCGCAGCCGGGACGGATCCCGACAATACTGTCTGGATCCACCCAGCTGCTATCTAGAGGCAGAGCCAGCTGTGCCCGCCCCCTCCCCCGTCCGTTCCACCAGTCAGCGCTGGAGGATTGGACAGGGGACAGGGGGAATCCCTGCAGGGAGCCGTGACAGTCACGGCTCTCTGCAGGGATAGATCGAGAAGTGAGCAAGCGACGGTATGTGTTCGCTCACTTCCCGATCTACCGAGCTGACCTGTGACAGTTTCATTGTCACAGGTCGGCTCAGATTATGAGGCTGAGTGAAAATCACTCGCCTCATAATTCTCCTTTAAGGTTTGCTAAATGAGTATACACAGCAGTGAGTAAAAAAAGCCAAGGTATCAGGCCACATGATCAGTACTAAAAGTCAGGATCAGCCAATATAAACCCTGATCCTCTCCTTCAAAAATTGTCCCTTGGCCAACTGCTTATGTGTGCAGCAATAAAAAGGGAGCCTAGATCAGCTTTTCTCCAGGAAATGTAAGCTCTAGAGCCCTTCTGTTACTCTTTTTTTATCCCAGGAAAACAGTTAACATAGCTTTTTTTGTTGACATTTGAGTTTAGTTCTGCCTTAACCATTAAGAATAAACTTTAATGTGCTTTGCACTTTACAGCCACACACATCTCACCAAGGCACTAATAGATTGTAGAGAGCAGGGAAGCTGCACTCCGTGATAAAAGCCAATATAGATGTTTATTAATCCGTCTGGTGCAATGTCAAAATCACCTGTACCCCTGCCCTCCAATGCATTTCACTCAGCAATATGGTTGTGCGACAGATCAATAGATCACCTGCGAGATGTACGCATGAATAAAATAACTAATTTAGCTAAACAGTTAATTGAGGTAATGCTTGCTGACACAAGGTTCTTGAAAATACCAATTACTGAACGCGTGGATAAACCCATCAAAGCAGTTGATAGGTTTTCTACTTTTCATCACCGTGATTTTGGATCATCACCTTAAATACACGTATACTGGGAGATTCAATTTTGAATATGATGTATCTCCCTATTACAGATAGTGGGCAATTGGTGTTTCCTCTTCTCTGATGGGTTAGTAAACACTAGAGATTAGTTCATTGATCATGCATTTTTATTTTTTAGATTTTCCATCATTTTTATTTGCCGCTTCGGAACCTAAGCAATTTTGTCCGCACAAGTTAAAAACTGAATATTAGGCTACAGAGGTACCAAACAATTCTATATTTTCTGAAAGCAGAGACCCTGTAGAATACGAAAATGCTAGTTTTAAATTTCTTACATCACATGGTATCAATGCCTATGTTTATCAAATCAATATGTTTTAGGAAAAATACACTAAAATGCATTTTAGTGCACACAAATACAACAGAATACCCAATTTTCATTATTTTTTTACACTTAATGTTATTGCCATCACCTGGGGACCCCCAAAGAAGCTGATGAAGCAGAGATCTGCTTCATCAGCTTCTTCTCTCTGGCAATATCAGCCAGAGGACTGACAGGTGAATGCGGAAGTGATGCAATACACTTCATTGCCGCATTTCGATGTGGAATGACAGCTGAATGTAAATACAGCAGGTAGTGGGCTGATGTAATTGCCAGCCTGCTATTGGCCGTTTCAAATTCCAATAGACAATAGCAGGCTGGCAATTGCACCCACCCACCCACTGCTTGCTGTGCCCTCCTCCCAGCATTGAGGAGAGAGCTCAGAGATTCAACCAACTAATCGATAAGGAGAATAGTTGACAACTAATAGTATTGATAAATCGATTAGTTGGTTGCAGCCTTAGATCCAGTTTTATATTGGGAGAAATGTGTATTTTTTTTCTTTAGGATTTAGTTTAAAAGAAGAACTCCGGGCAATATGGTATTAACCCTTGCAGTGGGGCTAGCCCTGCACTGCAAGGGTTAACTGCTTGTTTTGGTCTAGGGAGGAAAATAAAAAAAGTTATACTCACCTGATCTTCAGAGCCAGCTTGCTCTTAGACTGGTCTTTTCAGCGTCGTTCCCCCTCGGCTGCAGTGGTCTAAGGATCCTCGAGTCATCACATCCAATACACAGTGTATAGAACGCAAGGATGTAGGAGAGACTCCAGAGGGAGCGCTGTGACACCCAGCCAGCTCAGAGGTTCAGGTGAGTATAACTTTTTAAATTTAGTCCCTAGACACAAATTAACAGTTAATCTTTGCAGTGAGGGGGCAGGCCCCACTGCAAGGGTTAATACAATTTTTTGCTAGAGTTCTAGCAAAATGTCCCGATACCAGTTTTTCAAGACCAAGTACAAGTACTTCTCATGTACTTGCCGATACTTTTTCTTAAAGGTTCAGGTGACATTTAAAAAAAAACAATACAGACTATTGATTTTAGGCCAATTTCTTTACGATTATGAAGAACTTTAATTTAAGACTGTTTTAGAACAATACAACATTTGTATTTTCTTTCACACAGCTACGTGAAACTACAAATCTGATCATGCATCTGCCTCTGTAATCATTTAACCTATTCATGTTTTCAACCGCAATCGTGTGGGACAGCCCAGGCGGTATTGCACCGGGAAACCGTGCGATCTGATTGGCGCGAATGGAGTGCCATTAGAAAATAATATATCTTATGAAGCTGTATTCCACCTGAAAGTACTACAATGCCATCCAGCCAGCCCGGATCGCCGCTATGCGATCCGGGCTGGCTGGATCAGGCAGACGCGCCCTCCAATCAGGCAGTGTAGAGGGCCGCTCGCAGTGGACTCGGAGGAGCGAGCGGCCACCCGATGACGGCCGGGTGAATGTGGCAGAGAGAGGGAGCCAGGGGCTTCGTTTAGCGGGAGTCGTGACGGCGCCCCCCTCAGTCCTGCGCCCCCCCCGGTTGTTACGCTACTGTAACTGCTCATTATTGTCTAGGGGACCTTGAGTAAAGGACTTTTATTTACATGATCCCTGCAGCTTCTTCGTCCCTGTGCGGATAGACAGGGGCCCACTGATAGCATCAAGTACAATGTAGGGCCCATATTGTTATGAAGCTGAGGAACAGTCCACAGGCCTGCAGTGTAAGGAAGAGAGGTGAGCGCTGACTGCCAGGAGAAACAGGGATCAGGTAAGTAAAAGTCCCCCCTAGACAAAAATGAGCAGTTAACCCTTGCAGTACAGGGTATACCCACCCAAGGGGAGTTTTTTTCTGCTGGAGATAGGCTTTAAATATATGATTGTTTATTTGGTTCATGCTAAAAAATAAAGGGCACCTTCAATGACAAAGATTACAAAGGGCAAACCTTCAAATCATTGAAGTGTTTGAGATTATGTATCTGCATGAGAGCAGATCAGGAGTATCCATATGATTGATCATCTTCCACTGCACATTCTGCACAAGGGCACACACCCATAAACCCAATACAAAAGGTGCTTCCACTCAGACAGGATACACATCCATTACAGAGCAGGCAGGCTACTGACTCTAGAACTGTCTGTACATAATAAGATAAGCTACTTACCCACTATCCCCCAGGCCGTGCAGGAAGATCACCTGTTGACAGAAGGGGGTACATACATGAAATGATCAGCTAGAAAAGGGTGGTGCTGCACAATATTAGGCAATGCTATAAAGGAGTGCCCCGGCTCATGCTCCCTGACAAGTCAGAACCCAGATTAGAACACACTGACTGAAAAGCCGCAACCTCATTACACAGGGATGCAGTATCGTTCGTCGGACATAAGCCGGCCCTGCTCACAGTACACATGCTGCCTAGCCCAAGATCGTGTCTTACCGCCGCAGTCTCTCGTTCCCCTCCGGGTACGGTCACAGCGTCGGTGAGTAGCGGCACAGACATGTTGTTTCCGCACATGCACCGGAGTGATGTCACACACCGCCCCGGTGACCTTTGACCTCTCGCGGAGAGACAATGAGCCGCCGCAGCCGCTAAGCGGATCTAACCCCGGCGCATGTCACGTGATCTGGGCTCTCCCCTCACGTCACAGGCCTCCTAAGTGAGCACATCTGAGCGGCCATGTTGTGTGCGGCGGAAGTAGAAAATCAGGCCAGCAGGCTTTTTATTTTTTGTACAGCTTCTTAGATCTCCTGCATACGTTTCCACTTCCTTGTACACGTATGTCCATCATTTGAGGGGATTAGACGTCTCTCTTTTGAAACCAAATTCTGCTGCCCCTGTTTCCTCCTCAGATGTCCCTCTTTTTGTTCCAATGTATGTATCTCAATAAAAACAAATGTATTATATATCTATCAAAAGTATTAGGGCCAATTCACACCAGCCCCTGAGCTAAACGCACAGCGGCGGGTGTGCGTTGCCCAACACAGGTTCGATGTGCCAATACTGGCACATTGCACTGTTTTTTTAATTCAGTGACGTTTTATTCAGTTCACCGGGGATTAGGGGGTTGCGAGGTGGTTGTTCCTTGTCGCATCCCACTGCGCTGTTCAGTGCACGCCACTATGTTGCCATTGAAACGCAGTGGCGTGCACCAAGCCCATCTTTGACAGCAAATTGCCTTGTCTTGCTTTGGGGCTGCGCTGGAAACAACAGCACAGCCCCAGTGCATATGGTGTAAATTAGCCCTTAACCTTTTATCTTACCCCTGAATGATTGCATTTGTTCTTTTAAAAAGCCAATATAAAGGGAAAAAGTGCTTGTGGGTTTAACCAATCACCTTTTGCGTATCTATTCTTTGTGATCCGCATCACTGGAGGTGTGGTAGGCAGTGTGTCCTTTGCTTGTATACTTTGTACTATAAGGTGTCCCTCCTTTCTCATTTCAGAAAGTAGAGAGATACACGTGCCACGTGCCACGTGCACTCTGGCCTGGTGATTAGGTGCTGAGGATGATGTAAAGTGTAGGGAAAAGTACAGAGTCATTATGGTGTTGGCTATTAAGAGAACCTGTTACTTTGTTTAGTGTGGGTTATGTTGCCTTACTGTTTAAAGAAGAACTCTGGGATCATGAACCCCCTGGACTGGGGTGCGATGAGCATAAACCTTGCCCTCCCTCCCAATCCAGATGGAGATTTTGGTTCCTTCACTCTCCTTTTCAGAGACATTTGTGGTGTGCAGAGACAGAGGAGAGCCAGGAATCAAATTGTATGGAAAGTGTTTAGTTTAGTTTTAGATAGAGTAGGGAAGAGATAGACCCTCTGCTAAGTTTTTATTACTGTCCATGTCCCCATTGGAAGATTCACCTTCTCTACTTGTCCTGCTGATCATTGTTACTAAGAGAGAAAGTACGAGGAAAGACAAAATGTTAGAGTTGTCATGAGAGCAAAAGGTAAGGGGAAATCTTCCAATGGAGAGATATGCTCTGGTGACAACTGAATTCCCTTTGGGGAGATTTTATTCCACATCCTGTTGTGTCTCCCAGGCTGGAAGTGAAGGGAAATCTCCCTAGCAGGACACACTGCACAACCTTATGGGAGGTCTGATCCTTCTGTACTCTATTTAAAAGACTTTAAAAAAAAAGTTTTGGCTATCCATATATTTCAAATGATGTATTTGAAGATCTATGCAGGGGGGTGATGACATGAGACAACGCTTAGCAAGAAGAATCTCATAATTTTCAATGTAGCCCATTCACATCTGAGCATTGTGTCGCTTGTAGCTTGATGCCTGTTGCTCACAAGCAGTACTTGAGCTTTTTTCCTGGCAGAATTGCGCATTTTTTGCCCCACAGACTTCAATGGTAGTTCCTAAACAACACATGTTATGCCTGTTTTTCGCATGATTTTGCGCATTACATTGATGTTATCCTCCTAGTAACTAGCTTTCCATTAGCTAAAACAAAAATGCATGAAAAACGTCCAAAATACAAAAAAGATTTATATATGAATGTAATACATAGTAGTCCTGCAAAACTGTATAATATGTGATGGAGTTCTTCAGCAAGTTAGTTATAAAATTGGGCTGAATATTGAGGGCCCATTCACACCGGAGTGTTGCTCTAAGTGCACACTACAGCATGTTTAGCGCACGATCACCCCTGGACCCAAACAGTTTGAGAAGTTCATCAGACCCAGCCAATGGACTGCATTCGCAAGTGTGAATGTGGCCTTTGACCAATCGGTTGCATGGCCATTGTTGGGGGTCAGAGCCACATCTCAAGTTCCTGTAAACTGACATAGTACACACAAACTCTTAGAACAGAGTATTATGTGGTCACAGAGTTGAACTTATTTTTTTTATTCTCTATGCCCAAAATGCTTACCTTAAGCCCTTCTTTTCTTTCACTATATTTTATTAAGTCAGCATGAGTTTGCAGCACAGGTAAAAATTGCAAGAGGTACTGTATAGCAAAACAATCAGCAACAGTGTACAGTGGGGCAAAAAAGTATTTAGTCAGCCACCAATTGTGCAAGTTCTCCCACTTAAAAAGATGAGAGAGGCCTGTAATTGGCATCATAGGTAGACCTCAACTATGAGAGACAAAATGAGAAAACAAATCCAGACAAATCACATTGGCTGATTTGGAACAAATTTATTTGCAAATTATGGTGGAAAATAAGTATTTGGTCACCTACAAACAAGCAAGAGTTCTGGCTCTCACAGACCTGCACCTTCTTCTTTAAGAGGCTTTTTAATTGGGAGAACTTGCACAATTGGTGGCTGACTAAATACTTTTTTGCCCAACTGTATGTTATCTATAAAAATATGAGATTCCCATGCATATGTGAATGAAAAAAGCCAAAAGAATGTGGGAATACAGTGCATCTTAACTACATACAGAGTGTTTCTTATGAGATACAGGTTATTGATTCAGAAGTCAAGGTAATATGACATGGTTTTTGGTAAAGCCAAGAGAAACAAATAAAACATAGTTTGAGGGGATTAGCATGATGTACATGTGCATGATGAGATTAGTACAACTCAGGTTGCTGATATTTGAATAGGTCTATTAAATAAAAGAGGAGGGAGCAGGAAGAGAGCAAAGCAAGAAAAGGGAAAGGTCTCAGAGGTGTTAGAAAATTAGATATTGAAATCGGGGGGAAATTAAGGAAGGGGGAATAAAACACAGAAGTATGGCAATCTATGAAAAGAAGGGAGGGGAGGGTCAGCCAGAAGGTAGAGCCAATGTTATATGTCATGATGTATTTTCTAACTAAGCCGACAGATGCAGGTAACAAGTTAGTATGAAAAAAATATATGCAGTATATGTATGTGTTCTCTCTCTCTCCCCCCTCCCCTAAAAGAGCCGTCAGCAGTTCACTTATTACCTCTACTACTCATTTCTCAATTGTTGCACCATATGTGTTGTGAGATATAATGACAGATACACTGCATTAAGATGAGGCATTTTTATTTAAACAGGTTAATAAACATACTGCAGAAGTCATGTGGAAATGAAAAGCTATTTTGTTAGACCAAGAGCCATTATTATGACATTAAGAAATAAAATGGGACGGAGGAGTTATTTGTGATACTTTGTGATCAGCGGGATTAGCTGCAGACTCATAGTTACAGATGGTCACTTCATGTCGATGAGCCTGCAATGAAAACAAAGACATTTGTAATGCAAACATACATTTATCCACGAAAATATGATGTGTTCAATCTGCAAAGTAACACACCAGCATAAGGATTCTTAACCTGGCCATATACTAATTGAATTTAGTTCGGTTCTTCAGGAACCAGCTGAAATTCACAGTGGGTGCCGCTGTTGGCACCCTTTCGGAATGCATCCCTCAATCAGCTGATCGGAAAATCTTTGTATGAATAGAGACGGCAGCCAATGAGCTGCCGGCTCTGTTCAGGCATTTTGACAGCGGCTGGCAGCCGCTGTCAGAATACATATGAAACCGTAGGGGATTCCTTGATTAACGCTTGTGTTAAAGAATGTAAATTGAACCTAATGTATGCAGCATTGCCACAGGGTCCTTTAAAGAAGTGATGTGCGGGAGCTTGGTGCGAACTCAGTTTGCTCATGCAAAACGGTCACTGACACACACCCTTCCAGCCCACTCAGTTGTGGCAGGGGGATTCCCTGCTCCTTTGCGACGTGTAGCTGTGGGGTGGGGAATGCCCTGGCCGCAAATAATTAGGCTAGGAAGGGGAGGGGGTGCTTGCCAGTGATAGTTTTGCATGGGCTTAGGCTCAGGCTCGCACAAGCTCCCACACATTACTAGTCTAAAGCAACCAATAGGTTTCCATGTTTTTTTGTGTGTAGAAAATAGCGCTACAGACACCAATCCTCCACAATTCATACAAAGCCCCCTATATCTTCCAACACTATAATAAAAATGATTATGCCAGCAGTCCCCAATTTTCTAGATCTGTCTGAGCTTTAGTGAAGAAAGGGAAGTCATTTACCCCCCAAAATAAACAAAGATTCATCAGTGTGGGTGATTACACTATACAGTATGAGTGATCTTGGCTGTTAAATGTAAAGCCTAATCTATCCCAGGAGGATTTCACCTCAAATTATGTCAAATACAAATTGTTTTCCCCCTTTTCCAACATTTACCTCTGACCATTCTCCTCTTAAGCCAATGTAGAAAATCTTTGTGTTTTCAGCCCCAAAATTCTTAGAGATGTGGATAGACAGATGAGATACATTTGAAAACCTTGATATTCTAAAAAGAAAAAAAAAAAAAAAAATTTTTAAAGTTAAATACCAAAATTACTAAAACGGAAGTTCCAAGAGTATTCATAACCATCATTTAGAGTAGGGATGCACCCATACTGGTACTAGTATTGGCATTGGTGCCGATACCGAATATTTGGGCGAGTATGAGTACTCGCCCAAATGCTCCCGATGCCTAGCCCGATACCGGAACCTCCGGTATCAGGAAGCCGGGCAGCAAGTCATTACCCCCATCTTTTATATTTTACCAAAAGAATGGGAAATAAATGTTTCAAAGTACCGCAGCGCTGAATACTGAAAAATGGCCTGGACAGGAAGGGGGTTTAACACCGCGGTCTTCAAGTAGTTAAAAGGTCTTTTACAGCTTGCTAAGAATATGTAAAACTGAAATGTCTCAGTCAGCCTTCCAGATATTGGGAAGATTTGTCCAGACAGGCCTACTGTAAAGAATGCATGAAGAAGTTCACAAATTCCTGTTTTTGAAAAAGGGAAGACATAAAAAACAAATGAAGAGCAATGATAAAGTACAAAGCAGTCATGAATTGGTTTCTACTTTTAAAGTATATACCACAGGTATATACTTTAGGCCTTGTTCACACCGAATGCAGTGTGTTCCAGAACGGTAGCTGCTGGAACGCACCGCAATCGCTCGCAAAACTTCCCCTTGCGTTCTGGGGTGAGAGGGGGCGTGTTTTGCGTTTGCAGTGGAACGGAACGCAGACAAAGTTTTGCCACGCGTCCGATCGCACTGCGGACGTGCAAGCGATGTCATTGAATTCAATGCACCGCCACGCCCCCTTTCATCCAAGAACGCAGGGTGAAGTTTCGTGACCGATTGATACAGCTCCGTAACGCACCACATTCGGTGTGAACAAGCCCTCAACATAAAGTGATGCTTTCTTCTTAAATCAGACCTAGCTTGCGTAGATTCGAACTGGTTAGAAAGTAACTCCTATATTCAATCATTTCTAAAAACATTATTATTTAGAGGGCTTTTCTATCGCCAGGCTATGAGGTGGTAGCCCTTTCCACTGCCTGTGCTGTAATTGATAGCGAGGATTGTGGCTTTCCAAACAGCAATCAGCTGTTGGGACTGAGGGGCTACTAAACTCCAAAGCTATTACCAATAAAATTATTTTGTTTTTACAGCATAACACATCACTAGCCTTGCAAAACCACTGGAAGCAATCATTTCTGAAGCTGGGTTATGGAACACAGAAGGAGCAGCTCTTGGTAGCAGTAGGCTTGAAGCCGGTTACTGCAAAAAGGAAAATGGATAGGGGTACAAGTGATGCTGGACATTTCAAACACAGGCAGTGGAGGGGTTATTCACAACATAGGCTGGGGGTGAAAAACCCTTTTAAGCACTGCCCAGGAAGGAGAATACCTACTTTGTCTGGTACTCCAGTTCTCCGGTGGTGTCAATGTTTAAACTGAAAACCTGGTCTGCCTCCCTTCCAGCATCATCGAAGCTCATCTGAGGAATGTTCTTAAACCTAGGAGAAATCAGGCCATAGGAGATTTACAGATATTAACAAATTCTAAGAAAAAAGAAAAAAAGGGATACCAAAAGATATGCACAGGCTGACCAATGAAGTGGACGATGGCTGCTCTGTGCACATGGGTACAGCCCAATTGATTACTGAAGATTTTGCTTAGACCTATGCAATGCTGGGCATACCGCATGGCAAAAGATGTTGGAACTGCAGGGTTATGGGTAAGTATAATGTATACTGAAGAAAAAGTGCAAACAAAGTGCCCTTATACTTTAATGATAGCCCATTGCAATAGACCATATTTCCCATGAATAGAACTGCAAAATTAGCTGTTCATAGTGACAAAAATGTAAAATGAGTGTTGCAAGTCACAGTATAGTTCAAAACTGAAATGTCACTTGTCAATGTTTAACAGTAAAACATACATAGTACGCCCGTTATACATATTTGTTCAGGGCTTAAAGGAGAACTTCAAAGCAAACTATATATTTTTATAACCCCCCACCCCTGGACATTGTGCAGGAGATGTGTGGCTCTATAACCAATATGTTCTGATCCAGATTAAACGGACTTTTTGGAATTTGTATGCACCACACAGAACAGAGCAGCAGTGATTGACACCTTATTTAGCCCAGGGGGTGTGTCTAAGACAACCAGTGAGTCTTGTGTGAGGCTGGACAGCTTTTGATAGGAAGTGTGCCTGTTAAAAATGCCCTTCAACTAAAATATGGAGGCACACAATGAGGGGGGAAAGGAGAGGCAATTAAAGAGTAGCACAGCTTTAAACCAAAAACCAGAGGCAGATGGAGCAGAACAGGGCAAGGCGATTTTTGCCTTACAAAAACTCAGATGCTACATAGTTAATGTGCCTAAATTAGCTAAGCCTTTCAACTGCTGCCAATGGAGGCATGTGTTCCCTGGCTCCTAGACCAGACTGACTTATTGCTGAATTTTACATTGATTTTTTCAGGACTGTGGTTGGTGCCATGCAAGACATCACTGGATAGCGGTCATTAGGCTTCTTGCACATGGGTGCCAGCTTCAGTACAACATAAATGCCAGCATATTCCGACTGCCAGAGAGCCCCAGGTGCAGCATATAGCCTCACACTGAAGTCAATGGCTGTACGATGTTGCTGATGGGTATACATCGGCACTATGTAAATCCACACATGTGTATGGATGTAAAATTGCGGACCTAGACTGGGTGCAACTGAGATTCTACAGCTGTGTGCATGCGCAGGTTGACGTAATGCCAGTGTATACCTATGTAGTACAGCCATTGATTTCAATTTGAGGCAGTCTGCTGTATCTGGGGCTCTCTGCCAGTGGGAATATGCTGGCATTTGGGGTGTACAGTGAGCAACAGCTCTTGTTAGCCTTCTTAACGCCACACTCTGGGCAGAATAATAAACACACTGCACTGGGTGTGCAAGTGATCTTAAAAAGCTGTGTTTGATGTGCAGAATGTGGCTACAAAGTAGAAAAATCTTACCTTGCAGCATGCTGTCCCCTGCACAGAACGCCCAGCTTCCAAAAACTGAAGAGAGGTAGAAATGCATTTTCTGAATGGAGGATGAGGAGGGTAGAGTGATGTGCCCGGAGCACTTTATAGCTCGGGTCGCATTGCTCCCTCTCTTCAATGCCCAGAAGCTGGGTGCTCTGTGCGGGGGACAACATGTTACAAGGAAATATTTTTCTACTTTGCATCAGTCCGTTGCACATAACACCCAGCTTTTTAATAGTTTACACACCCAGTGCAGTGTGTAAACTAGAATTGTGCCCAGAGTGTGGCTTTTACTGCTAGCCTGTAAAGAAGCAAGGCTGCAGTCTTATTCACAAGGCTTGTTGTTGTAAGTCTGTGTAAATAAAAATGTAAATCTTGTTATACATTACATACACATACATGGATATACACACAGTCTGTAACAGATGCGAAAAATGAAGAGCACAAAAAGAAATCTTGGTGATATGGTACTCACAATCTCAGCTCTGACGGGTGTGCATCGCTGTCCTCACCGATGACTATAATACCTTTCAACTTTACATTTCCTGTGAACCTGACAAAAACATGTGCAGTTATAAAATAGGGGCAGACAGAACAAAAGAAGGTACACACAATGGAACCAATACAATAAACTTACGGAATGTTGAAAAGTAATTCCTCATCATCATCACTTTCTACAAACTGAGGAAATAAAAACAGAACACCAATATCAAGGCAGCTCTTTAATGGGGTCGCATTAAAAAAAATATCTTGAGTTATAAGAAAGCTCAGTGGGTGTCCACAGTGTGGTAATAGTAACAATCACTTCAAGGAGCAGAGAATATTTCTTTGGAAGCTCTGAAAAATGATATCCCCCTTATGCTATGCAGCCATCTCGTACAGCATTTTTGGATGGATCACAAGTATATGGCTATTGCTTTACAAATCTCTTGTCGGGTATTTTACTGTCTGTTGAAAGTTTCCAATACAAATAACACAGCAAGACAGCTATAGAGCCTAACCAAATAAGAAACCCAACACAGGGTAGTGAGGCTACCACGCATTCATGGAGGTCACATGGCAGTTGAACATGTTGATGTTGGTACCAAAGTAGGTTAGAATGCATCTATAGTGCATTTTGTGTGCCTTACCATGTTGGTGTGTTCTTAGTATGTGGTCACCATAGATCAGGGCTAGACAAATCCCAGGAACCAGGTAGTCAATTACTGGTGTGTATTGTTGGAGGTTTTCTCTAGTCGTCGTCAATGGAGCTGGCATCTAAAAGAAAATCCCAGTGGCTCCTGAATTCCTTATTAATGTACTACCCCTGCCACAGAGATCAGTGGATACTTTCTCTTGTCTAGTCACATTACCACATGGTAATGCTGTGTGTAAGTAGGCAGTCTATGCATGCAAAGTGAATTTCATCAAGGGTTTTCATTACGCTAAGTCACTGCCCATTTCCTGCCGATACAGTAGAGACATGCTGGTAAAATAGTAATGAACAGATGAACCCTCAACTATTTACCATTGAACATGGTACCATCTGTTTCCACTAATTCTCAGACATTTCCTGGTTCGAACCGCATCAAAAGGTGGACTCTGTTTGAGGTCGCCAGTTGGTACCTTTCTCTCACACAGATCCCAGACCCAAAGGGATAAAGAATCAGTGGGATACTGGAAACTGAAGGGTGTCCAGTTATAGTAAATTGCAAGTATTTAAGGGCTCTTAGTGATAGTAGATACAATGGGGGGTCAACTTTTTTTTATTCCAAATACTGCGTGCAAACACACTGGGAGGAATTTATCAAGACAGAAGCAGACAGAATTTGGAGCAGTTGCCCATAGTAACCAATTGGCTTCTATTTTCAGGTTGCTCAGTTAAGCTTTAAAAATTGAAAGATAAAAGCCGATTAGTTGTCATGACAACTGCTCCAGTTTTGATACATTCCCTTTACTGGGTTTATATATGCTTAAGGCTTCATTCACACAGAACGGTAGCGGTTTCCTACCGTTGTGGAACGAAATGCTACCGGCTATTACTATAGTTGAAATGTGCAGAATCCGCCTATACAAATCGCGCTTGGACTAGTTTGTGGGACACGTGGTTTTGTACCGTGGTGCCACCGCAATAGTCTGAATAATGCACATTGCAATGCATTGGTTTTTTTAATGTTTAGCGTGGGGCCACGTGTATTCGTACGGCCAAATACGAGTGGAAAACCGCTCATGTGTGCATGGAGCCTTAAGCAATAACCAGATTACAATCAGGCCTAGTAGTCAAGCTCATATTTGATACAGAAAACCTACTAATGCGAGCTACCATAAATCATATTTGCCAGCCACATACATTAAAGTGCTAGAGAAGCCATCGTTGTTTCTGTCTTGGAGTAGAGAGGGATGAAAACACCAATCAAGTTTTTATTGCTGCCTGTGACCCCATTAGGGGATTCATCCTCTCTATTTTTTGTGGTGAACGTTCTCAGTAAGGGTTTGTTCACACCAGCTGCTGCTCACAACCACACGGCTGCTGGTGTGCTGGGGCTCCGACAGTGCTTATGCGCTCAATCGAGCCGCATAGCACTTTTTTTTTTGTTAGAACTTTATTGAAATGTCACAAGTGACACTTCATTAAGTTCTATGGGCTCAGCGCGGTGCAATGCAGTTGTACCGTGTCTCACTGCAGACGCTTTAAAAACATTACTGCATGTCGTCCCTTTTTTAAGTGCACACCACCAGCACACAGTGGTGTTAATTGTCGCCGCCCATGACAAGGCAAATTGGCTCGTCTTGCACTGGTAAAAATGGCCAGCGCAGCCCAAACGTGGATGGTGTGAACGAGCCTTGAAAGTGAAAGAAACTCTTAAATTTGAGGATGTCACGAAAATAGAAATAGATAGGAAATCTTGCAATGGGCACACTAATTCTGGTGACCCTGCTGACCACCAGAGTTTCGATCACTTTGGAGTTATTTCCTCTCACTTCCTGCTTTGGCTGTCAGACAGGAAGTAAAGGGTTTTGGCTCGGGTTCTACTTTACTAAACAATAAACATGTGATGTCTCCTTTGTAAGTATGGATAATATGTAGCGCTCAGACACAGGTATATGACATTTACCCGGCTCCGGTCTCCGCGTTCCTCCCAGGCCCTGAACACTGTCTTGCCACTTCCCTCCGCACTCTCATTCAAACATTGCAATTTCACCAGGTCAATTTTCCGATAAAGCCCATACTCCAAACCACGTTCTGGGGCTTCAGATGCCTCGGCACCGCAAGAGCAGCCCCCATCGTGACTGTGCCCGTGTGACATGTCCTGCGTTCAGCCAGCTCCGACGACGCCATATTTGTACTCTCACAACATTTTACTAACCACGACGTCGCCATGTTGCTACTCTCAGGAAGTGGTGATAAAACCGGTGGTTGCATTGTGTAGTGTTAACCAGTAGGTGGCGGACTGTCCCTCCATTGCGGAGTCACGTGTTCGGACAGCCGTGCTTAGGTGCTCTGTGCTGTGTGACTACATCCATACTAGTACTGACTCCTGACTCCCTGAGGCTGAGCAGAATCTATGGAGGTGTCTATTTCTGAGCTATCCTAGTGTGATTATATAGCCTCTTGTATGAGGAAAAACAATGCACATATAAGAAACCCTGACTCTTGTCTGAACTCATTCACATCATGTTTGTTCCAGGTTCATGACTCTAAAGTTTGGGAGCCAGAACCACAATCAACTAAAATACCTCATAACAAGGTGTTAACACCTAAAATTCTAATTACTCCTTAGTACAAACCTGACAGCTGTACTCTATGTTTACAATTGCCTAAATATCCCATCACCCTTATCATCTGATATCTATGCTTTCCCAGGAGTCAGCACAGAGCCAGGGGACAAATTACAGACAGTCCCTGCATTAGGAATATACATTCCAGTAGCTTGCATGAAGGAAGGGATGTTGTCTTCCACTTTCCCTATTACAACACTGACACAAGTTGTGATTGTAGATAAGGTAGACCAGGGTTAGGCAACCTCGGAACTCCAGCTGTGGTGCAACTACAAATCCCATGAGGCATTGCAAGACTGACAGCTACAAGCATGACTCCCAGAGATATGATGGACTTTGTCACAGCTGGAGTGCCAAGGTTGCCCACACCTGAGGTAGACAATCCCAAATAGCAGCCATTTTGTTTTTTTAAGGCACTTACATTGGATGCGTGTGGGAGGGGATCCCAATCATGTTGTTCTATGATGGGCTGCACAGCGAAGATGTAATTGGGAGCCATTCTTCTGACTCCCACCCGTTGGTACTTGACTGTGAGCTGTTTGTGAAAGCTTGAACAGTGTGCAGGGAGGGTTGATTGCATGCACCCGCAGAACAATTCAGTGACAAGTGCAGCATCCTGACATTAAGGCTCACCTACATGCTGCTGCATATACATGTGTGAGCAGGGCCGGTGCAAGGAGTTTTGCCTACACAGGCGAAGGTGCATTTTTGCGCCCCTGCGCGCCCTCAGACGGCTGTATATGCACCACACTTGTATTCAAGGATGTGACGCAGAGTACAGAGGTCAGGGTGTGACGCAGAGTACAGAGGTCAGGGTGTGACGCAGAGTACAGAGGTCAGGGTGTGACGCAGAGTACAGAGGTCAGGGGGTGACGCAGAGTATAGAGGTCAGGGTGTGACG